CAGCCCTGAAGTCGGGCACACTGGGTTTTCCAACCAGGAAAATGGTAATTCGCTTGTGGGGAGACAGGAATGTCGTGGGGAAGGGGGCAGGGAAGAGCAGGGGTTTTCAGGGCTCTGGAATCATCAGGGCTTTAACAGGGTACATCCAAGTGCTCTCCACCACCTCCCCCAAGGAAAGAAAAGGTACAAAATGTCTTGGTTTTCAGGGTTTTTTTTAAAGAAATTAATTTTGTTGATGAAAGCAGGGATTGCTTTAACAAATTTACACTCTCATGGACTGAGATGGCAAATAAAAGTTGTCTTTTTGATCGTTTGCTTCTGTCCTCAACATGGCAGTGAGTCTGGTAGGATGGGGAAGCAGCATATGCTGAACTTTCAGCACTAGATGAAGAGCCCGGGGAGGCAGTTGTAGTCGTCAAGCAATAAATGCATCTACCTTTGCTGTTTTCTGTTCTGTAACCCCCATAACTCTGCTCAGCCACTGGCTCATCCCCATTCCCACACAATCCTGTTCCCTGTGGCTTGGCTGCCCTGCCCTTTCCCTGCCCTCTTGCTGCATCTTTCAGTAGCTGAGTTTGGCGTTAGCCCCACGAATGCTCTAGTCTTGGGTGTGTTTGTCTCTGCTGGCAGCATCATGGACACAGGAAAACAAGGACCATGAGCTGCGACGTGTGACAGGCCTTGGCATTAAGCAGGGAAGGGATGCTGCTGCTGCCGTGCGGTTTTCTTCTGTGCGACTTCGAGCCCACAGACCCGGGTCTGCAGCGTTCTTGTCAACCTGTACCGGGTGAGCATGTACAAGGGGATAGAAAATAAGCTGTATCCTGTCATTTTGGGGGGTTTTCTGTTTGTGGTCAGAAACAGGGTATTGATGAGTTTGCCGATTAACGGTTTCCTAAATTAGGAACGCTGCTGTGAAAAACAGCAAACACGGCGTGCATTCAGTTTCAACGCCCATGCAGTGCTCTGGGCTGTCGGGGCTTTAGCCTGTGACCAAGTTCTTCCCCACTGACCTTTCTTGGGAGTTCAAGCTGCCAAATGAGTAAGATTTCCCCCTCTGTTCCTCAGACACTTGTTCTGGGGAAGGGCCTGTGTCCCTGTGCGTACAGCAAGTGCAGAAGGAGCTGCTCCTGCCCCTGCAGAGTGCAGGGAGGCTAGCCGGGGGTGGGAGGAGAGGTCTGTAAAACTGGTATTTCCCAGGGATGAGTAATTGTTCATTTTTACACAAATTGAGCTTGTTGATTCAAAGGAGACGCGCCATGTAAATAAACATGACAAATTCCCAGTGCTTCATCCAGCTGCTCCCAGGTGAGGGGGAGGTACAAGGCAAACTGACGTGCATCCGAAGAAAAGCCTTCCATTCCGACCTCAGCGTGTGACGTGTTCGCACTGGATTCCTGCCGCCGTCGGTCTGACCCTGTACGCGGGCTGCGACGTGCAGAAGGCGCTGAAGCAGCCCGGATCGGCTGGGATGTAAACCAAATTGCGTCTTGCACCGGGACGGATGCGTTTCCCCCTGCACCCTGCTGCCTGCTCGGAGCTAAACTCCTTCCCAGGGCACCTCGCAGCCAACTTTCCCTCCCACCCCTCATTACTGAAGTGGAAAAAGCGAGTAGCTCTGTTTGGTCTTTTCCAATTTCCTGACTGCTGCGCTGATGTGACACACCAGATGAGAGCAGAGGTTCATCTTCTGTGGAATCACGGTGTTTACAAACAAGACGATGTTGTGCTCCAGCAACCCCCAGCACCGGTGCTTCAGATTCCAGCGCGCGTTTTGAGTCCCACGGATTAATCATCAGGAGTGCCTCAGACTGCCGGGAGCCCCTGTGCTGCCTCCTCAGCTGCCCCGTCTCAGCCCTTCGCTGTGCGTGAGCTTGCGATTCGTTTAACACTGGCGCAGGTATGTCAGGGTGACCAAAGAGAGAGACAGGAACAGATCCTTGACTACGGGCAGTAAAAAGCTGAGCCGTAAGCCAGCCCCAAAACAGGTTACCCAAAGTGGGAATTAACCGCGTTCGTCTACTATTCTAATCGGAAAAACCCACCCCATCCCAAACCTCTTTAAAAACAAAGCACACAAATGTCACCATTGCTTAAATTCAGGGATTGTTACTGTAACTTCCCGAAAGTGGGTCTGGCCCTATTAATGCTTCCTATGTGACAAAGGATCGTTTATGTAGTAGAACAACCCAGTGTTTAAGTGCCAATAATAGAAATCGGCCTTGCTGGCGCAGAACAGGAGTTTGGCAGTCGGCTGTCCCTTAGCAATACTCTGTTGCTCAGAACATTCCTCTGGGCCATGGGGGACTGAGTTAAATTCATTATGAACTTTATTAGGAAGGATTTTAAGCACACACAAGTGCCTGGCGGAGCGGGCTTCCTCGGCCACCCAGGCTTGTTCTTCCCTTGAACTGACTGTTGGCTGCGTCCCTGCACCGGAGCACTTGAATCTCTCTCCTCCTACAGTCCAAGAGCTCTCCACTATCCTGGCCAGTGCCAGCCATCCCGCAAAACTTGGAATTGTCTACGGAACTGGAATATTCCCCAGCAATGTGCTGTGTTTGGCTGCTGTAGCCCATTAACTGGGGCTGTTGTGTGTGCTCCTTTGCCCATGGCACTTGACCCTGACCGCCCTGGTGCACCAAGGTCTGCCAGACTCCACTGCTGCTCTTGCCGTGTTGAACCTCAAACTTGGCTTTTCTGTGCTTTAATTAATGGCAGAAAGGCGGGTTCTCGGCATCTGCTTGTAAACTGACATTTAAATGGCAATTGTCAGTGGAACACAAGCATATGGTTACTGAGCAATGAGTCAAGCGCAGGCAGCGCTGCAGTTGGTTCAAGGGAGCTTTGAGTGCTCATTCCACATTCCCATTCTTGGCTCAAAGGTACAACGTGACATTCATGCCCCGTGATCGCTCACATCTTCCTCCTGCGCGGCAGCGGTATCGGCTCCCAGAAGGGGCCAAATGCCAAGCCCATCCCTCATTAGTAGGGTTACCTTCATAAAGCAACGCTAATCCTGGGGAAAGCGCTTGGTCCCAGCTTGGTTCTGCTGCAAACGCCTTTGGAAACACAGCAAATCCGCCCTCTCACTAACCAGGTTCTCAGTGGTCACGATGCCAGCTGCTGCTCACCTGGGGCAGGAACAAAGCAAATCCCCCCCCAGTCCTAACTAAAAATGCCACTTCCGGGAGGCAGCGTTTTGACACATATTTGTGTTACTATTTTAACCAGGACTCCAAAAATCTTGCTTTTCATTAGAAATGGGGACAGAAGTTGTTACTGGCTTTCGAGCTTTTAAGAAAAAAGCCAAGCCACAAACCCCACCTTCCGTCACTGAGATGGCCTTCCCAACCGCAGCGCTGGCCTCTGGCACCTGCAGCTGCTCTGGGCGCTGCCGCCGTCGCCTCCACACGCTTCCTGCCCGCTGCCGACTGGCGCTTCACAGGCAGCCCTTCCTTCCGCTGCTGCGAGCGTGACCTGTGCGTGCAGCAGGGAAACCAAGCGGCCCGATCCCGCCTGGCTGTTGGCGCCGCTCGGCAGCGCTGTCGGTGGCACCAGGCCGGATCGCAAGGATAACCCTGCAGGTGCAGGGAAGTGCCCACACAGACTCGCTCCGTGGGACCAACTCAACAGGCCCAAACAGCCACTGTGCTCCCCGTGGCACAACAGTGCCCACGCATGAAGCTGCAGCTGGCACGCGGAGTGCCACACGTGACCCAACGCGAGGCCGGCTCACCGCAAGCTCCCAGCAGTCTGCGGGTGGGCCCTGTTCAGCGCCACCGGCATCATTGCGTAGGCAGCGGTTCACAGCTGGGTCTCGGAGTCAAAGCCCCGGCAGTCTGCGTCCTGCGCTACACCTCCCCTTTCTGGGAGCTGCTGGGTAGGAGTTACCACCGGGAGCGCCACAGGCAGCTCGTCTGTAAAACACGAGTGGTGGTTTCCTGCCCCTTCCACCAGCGACAGTTTCCAAAAACCATTTCCCAAAAACCCACGGCCCCATCCTGTGTTCAGTGCGGTGTCACACCCACCGTAAGGGTTCTGCTCGCACAAGGGCTGCGGTGTGCTCCGTGCGGGGCAAAGCGGCTGCTGAAGTTTAAAACGGGAAAAGAATAGATGGGCCCCTCCCTTTTCCCACTCTCCCGCAGGCAAGTGCCTGCTGCTGGAGGACAACCACTGTAATAATGAGAAGCGCATATTGGTGTGTGCTGAGGTGGAGATAAAAATGTATTAACCTACAGATAAATATTGATACTGCTTTGTCTGTGTCAATATTTAGTTCGAGGGACAATAAATTCTGATATTCACTGAAACAATACGTGCGTTGCTACATACATTTTGTATAAGCTCAAATTATTCAGCAAATGTTCCTTTTATCCTCATCTTTCAGACTCACAGATTTGCCTTTCAAAAGTGCTCCTCTGGAAGGGAAGGAGCCTGTTCATAAACTATCCCTACCTGGGCAGCAGCTACGGGGAGAAGATACAGTCTTACCTCCCAGTGATTTCCCGGTCAGTTTTCTGACCCCCAGAGATGCGCAGGCTCTGACCCCGGGACTGGGCTGGCTGCTAAGGGTGCAGCCCCCTCGCGAACAGGAGTTTCCTCATCACTGCACATCAGCGATTCGCTGCCAGGGCCGCGGAGCCACCTGGCACATACACACGTACACAGGGGTTCCGTGGAGATAAAGTCCGTGGCACCGCGGGGATAACAGGGACAAAGGCGGTAGCGAGGCGACGTTTTTGTCACCAGCACAAGGCGGCGAATCTCCACGCGCTCGCAGAGAGGCTTTGGCAAAAACACCACAGCCCTTCTCAGAATGAACAGAAGCCAGTAACAGACGACTTGAAGGACTAAGCGTACAGCCTGGCACAAACAGCTGAAAACCAGCTCCGTGTACATCTGAACCCGTCAACAGCTTCCACCAAGAGACCAACGGCCTAGCAGTTCCCACAGCCTGCGGCGGGTTTGGGCCCGTCTCACGCTTACAGTGCTCCCGCCAGCCCTAGTGCGGGGCACCGGTGGGAGGCTGCTGCTCATCGGTGAGCACAAGGGCTGGCAGGAGGGTGCTGCCCACCCAGCGCTGCAGCCCACGGAGGGGGCGAGAGGAGCTGCG